CCCCCAGGTTAATCTTGGACTGTTTATACGAGTAGGGAAAACCCGAAACCGGGAACAGATAGAAATTATTTTTCTTAAAATGACATTTTGGGGATGAATTAGACGATTGAAAGTGTTCAGTTCATTCAACACGTATCCGTGTACCATTTGGTGTCAGCCTTTTAGTCACATTTTGTTCATCTTTGGAACGAATGATCAGAGATCAAACAGTACTGCGAAAATAAAGCCATGGTAAAGGATGGGGTATGAATGGACGATAAGCGAGTGAATCAGCAGGTGCGAAGACTGCAGTCGGAAAAACGGTCTACCTTTAGACACATGTCCAAATCCAGTGCGACAGAATACATTTCACTAGAGAATCTGTCTAACCAAGGAGTACACGATAGACACTTCACAATTGGAGTGTGAAGTACACCCAGACCGCTCTCTATCAGGGTAGGAATATAAAATCTTTTTCCCGGAACATTTTTATTTTTGCCCGGGATCAACGGTGTCAGTATTAGCAGACAAACATCGAGACGCAATAGACCAGTGGTCTTGCGATCATAGAAGCAGTGGTGCCTCTTAGCTGACGTACAGATTAATAAATGATTGTTTGATTGATGATTGAATGACAGTTCATCAGCAATAATTTCCCGATGTACCACAACAGAATTAGTTTTACGATTTAGTTTTAATTAGGTTCGAGTTCAAGAACAAAAGTGTCAATGAAATGATATCAGAAAGAGATACTTACCTTTAGTTCAACATTGTAGCATATCTGATCGCTCTCGTTGTGCAAATTCATGTGTGCTGAAAATGTTTCACCCAAATAAGTGGAGCTATATTTAGCAAGGGGAAAGGATAGAAATCGGTTTTTAAATGGGTTCACAATTCAGTAACGATTAGAACAAGTGAGAATGTTTACATTTTGTGGGGCAAATGTTTGCATTTTCATATCATTGTAGCCAACATATCTTGAAAAATTTCCATCAACCAACGAATTTATCCTGCTCCACTAAAATAGTACTAAGTAGTGTAATGGTCTTAATCTCCACTGGAATTGAACTGTGGAATCAACCGTCCGAACAGATTGTTTTTTGTCGTTGTTGCATAAATGGTGCTTTCTGTTTTATTATTATAATGAACAATAGAACACGCGAACCCCGTAGTCACATGGACTCACTGATTGGTTATGCCAAACCGAAAACGTGAGCTCTAGAACGTTCGATCACACCTACACCCAAAATTTGTTTTTCTTTTACTCATATTGCACTGGTCATGCAAAAACTCACGTTTTACGTAAAACTAATGTACATGAATAACATGCACGGACCTCAAAATTTGACACTTTTACGAACCCAACGTTTCCAATTGTTTGGAGGGTGCAAAAATGAATGGGATTAGTGCAATCACACACCATCATTGATATACAACGGAATGCCAGCCATTGTAATACAGTTGGACAAGAGCGAGATGATTTGGTTCCTATCATTTTTTTATCGGTCGAACTAGTTTAGTTTGGTTGATCGTACCCCACTGTGGATAGCGTATGCGACATACCCAAATGATTGAGGCAAACTGAGTAACTCGCCCGGACCTCCGGCTTTGACACGAACCAAATCGGCAATTGGTTTTTTCATTGTTGTTTCCGCCAATGCACCAAAAACAACCGGAAGCCGATGCATCGGTGCACCGTCCAAATCTGCACGAAGCCCGGCGTCCGCAGTGGTCAAACAACCAGCCAAATCATCCAAATACAACTCAGTTGGTTCACATTGCTGTCTCACAAACACCGGTCGATTGAGACGTATCACTGGGGATCAAGTAGGGAAGGAGGAGAGCGCGGTAGAAGGAAATACACGAAACGGGTTATGTTAGTTAGACTGACACTGAATTTTTCAGGCAAACGTACAATTAACGAGGAATTGAGAGAAAGCGTGAACAAAGAGTTGTAGAGGAACACTTCAATGAAGTGTCTATTGTACTACTTTCCGTCGGTAAAGACCCAAAACAATCCCTACATGACCGCTTCAAAGATTTAGTAGCGCAACAACCTTATTGTATTCGGGAAATTAAAAACTAAGAAGTGTTTCATCCAAGTCCTCCAATGTAGCGCCTGGATTATTATGACCTTATGCACACGGACTAGAAGCACGTGTGATAGCAGAAAAATATAAGCTGAATTTTCTCCCGGAAAGAATTCACATTGAATCTGACAGATTGTAAGGAGGAAAATTCACGAAGGAAAAAACACTCACTCACGTTGCACGATCCACAGTTGAACAGAAGCGAAAGCCACATGTATCCATATAACATGCAGATCTTTACTGAGACATAAAGGTGACGACTAGATAGTTTATTAAACCAAACTGACAAAAAATCGCAGCTATAACCGTCTTTGATTAAATTTGTCCGGGAAGAAACTCTTGTGTATTGTCTGAGGGACCTACTGCTATAATATCAGTCCCGAGTGGAGTTAAAATTTACTGGCAAGTGCAATTCGCACTCCTCGGTGATTTGTGACATTCACACAGGCCTGCTTTCTGACTATTTACAAAGTAAATCATGTTACAGCTACGTTTAAAAGTGGAGAAACATACGCTCAAGGATATAAAAACGAAGGAACCATGAGATTAACAGAATTCAAAGTTTTGGAGTGTTTTTTTAGTACACAATTTTGCGTTCTTTTTCAAAACCGTAGGATAGGCGATCAGGAGTTTGAACAGCTTTGCCACTGTGCTCGATTACGAACCACATATCTATCGAGGTTTCCTACTAGGGAAATTTATTACCGCACATCTTAAAATGTAAGTTAAGATGAACTGAGACGCAAAAGAGAGAGCTTCAGTCAACTGCTTCAGTCCCTGTTGCTATATCGCATAATAATCTTTACAAGCATTCTATGAAGCATGCCCAACGCGCGTGAAAGGGGCGCGTCGTGGCAAGCGCTGGAATAAACGACATAACTACCAGTTACTTGTTTGGGACAAGTAAGATCGGTGATCTAAACGGACCGTCCTTTTTTGAGTTAAGTGTGCTCAGATGTCATCTTCGGTGGCATTTGGTCATAGAAACATCCGCAACATGTGCACGATTATCTAAACAAGAGTTGATGCAGTAGGAAACGTTCGATGGGGGTTAAAAGAAAGTTCACTGTCTTCACTCGTTGATATAGGGTCAACAACTCACAAATTATTTCATCTCTCAGGTGACAACGGAGAAGATAAAATAGAATCACAGTTTCACCGCACTGTCTTCGTTGACTCCGACTCGGATGCAAACAGTTTTCTGTCGACTAGCCTTAACGGAACACCACAACTGAACAGCAATCTAAACAATATTTTACACTTCATATTTAAGGAAACCACTGACCAATTTAATCAACGGTTTTGGGAGGTTTTGAGTGATATGACTTCGTTTCATAAGTATTGGTTCTCGTGTCAATATTTCTTGTTTGGACACCCATCCACAGTTTATTCGCACTCAATGGCTCTTTGGTTTGGTACTGCTTTTGATTTGTTCTCTCACTCCTGAATTGGTTAACCACATGAGTAATCGAAAGGTGACAAGCAAGGCTATTGCACGAAAGTGCCAAATTATTGGTTGCAGCAACTGAAACTGAATACTACACGCAAGCACGCACACATACATAGCGATAAAAACAGTGGAAAATACTAACCGATACGCAGAGCACAATTTGACGGTGAAGAAAGTTAACCATATCGGTCGCCGTCAAGAGGTATCAAGTGGGATAGGATCAATAGGACAAAATGTTTTTTTCTAGTCTCCGTTTAAGGCATCTGAATTGGACTTGTTCTTGCATGACTACCAGCTGGATATTGCATGTCTATCAGAAGTCAGACTGGCGAGATCCGCCTCCAAAAATGTCAAAATCCCTGGTAGCGATAGCCAATAATGTATGTATCACAGCAACAACGAAACGTCAGGTCAACACAGAGTGGCACTTGCTTAAGAGGTCAAGCTACTAGTGCTTTACTT